CTATTTCAATGGTTGTGGTTTCAATTATATAGCTAATGACTTTAAAATAAATGAAAAGCAATTTAAATAGCAAGTGAATTAACGCAAATGATTAAAGAGCTAGGGAATCGGGGATAATTGATTTTGGTTCTAACACAACTACCGGGCAATCAATTGCTCGGTTAAAGGATTTGAATCGTCTCTCGTTCAGAGGTTCACTCTCAATACAGTTACGAACAAGAGAATGAATGTAAACGATCAACTATCAGTTCCAGCAACGCATAGACAATACAGCTACGGACAAGTCTACTCTAGACGAGACTATATCGACCATTGTCTCCCCTCTCGGTTCTACACGTTGATTTATTAGGTTAGAAAGGTGATCAATCTACTAACCCTAGGACAAGCACAACTTGCATAGATATGAGCAATTAAGAACAAGCAATTATTATTGAACCTAATCAATCATCCCCTACCCCTAGCGTATGGATTTAGCTACTCATATGGAATTTAACATCAACATTCATATTAGCCCAAGCCATCATCATCAACACACAATTGAGAAAAGAAGAACTTACGATTAATGTAAATAGTTCAATGTCAAATCCACAAGCATCCAAATCCAAAGCAAGAAAACAGCGTTTCAATCTCCAAAATTCAATCAAAAGAGCAAAAGTATGAAAAGGAATGAGTTTCTAGAGAGGACAAGCGTAAAAACAAAGTCTGGAAGTTGAATAATGAATCCTATGCCCTAATTCTGATGTAAAAACCCGCGCCTCGAAATTCGCGTCGGTCAACTCGCGAGTCGCGACATCATGTTTTTCCAGGTCGCGAGTCGCGCGTCTTCAATTATCTTATTTTTCTGGGGAAGGTCGCGATAGGTCTCGCGAGTCGCGACCCATCTCGCGAGTCGCGACTTTGACTCGCGAGTCGCGACTCGCTTCGCGAAATCTGTCTTTCGTCCGTCTTCCGTCTCTGTCAAACTCACGAGTCGCGAGCTTCTCGCGAGTCGCAACATGGTCGGGTGTCGCAACTCGACTCGCGAGTCGCGAAGAATGCTGGGCGCTTTTTCGGTCCGTTTTTCTGGTCCTTCCTTCAGCTTTCTGGGCTCGGCAACTGGTATTCTTAATATCATGGTCTCGGATCCAACAGTCTCGTCCTCGACCGGCACAACCTACCTCCTGAAAACACAAACACGGATCAAAACAAGACAAATAGACGCACAAATAGAAACTAAAGAGAAAAACACAAAACCACAGAATTGGACCAAATAAACTACTAAAATCCTAGAAGTGGGAAAAATAAAAGGAAAATTAAACTAAAACAAAGACACAAAAATGGGACAAACAATGGTCATAATTTGCTTCTGTATGTGATATACCATGGCTACAATAGGCATAAATCGTGTCGACTTCACCTTATTATTCCAACATTCTGCTTGATAATAATTCATGATCCTCCAACGGTCTCCGGTAAATAAAGAATTCGCCCAACAGCTTGGGTTAGAATCCTGAAGGAACGTTATAGAAAGAGGCATAGCAGTCACTATATTATTTATATGCATATCAAACTCTTGTCTCGTAGGAGCACGCAGCTTTCTTGAAAATTGAGGACCAATGCTTCTTATTATTAAGTGGGTAGCTCTTCAAAACCTACAAATAAATAATAATAATAATAATAATAATAATAATAATAATAATAATAATAATAATAATAATAATAATGAAACCTGCTTTATAATGAATAAACATAATTTATAAAAATAAAAAACTTAACAGAATGTGAACATAATGTACATTATGAATAATTAGTGAATAGAATGTACATTATGAATAACAATGTAAACAGAATGTACTACTGAATAATGACTGATGTAAAAATAGTAGTATCACTAACAAAATGTAAAAACAAACTAAGAATAAAAAATAAAAATAATAAAAAAAAAAGAATATGCAAACAAATTGCACAACTTGATCCACAATTCCATGAGCAAATTTTTTTCAATACAACATTTAAAAACATAAAAAAAAAAGGGAAAAAGATAACATTTCAGTATAGATAGAGAGGCAAGAAGAAATTAAAATATAACAACTCAATATACAACTTGATCCGCAATTACATATGTAAACAGGTTCAAATACAAAGGGCTTACATCTAACAACACTAACAGAATGTAAAAATAAACTAAAAAAATATTATGAATAAAATATATTATAAATTCTACTAAGCATCACGAAAAGAATAAGCATGATGACTGAGAAAACAGAATGTACTACTAAGCTTTATTATGAATAATTAGTGATAAATTACCTGATTCTTAAAGTTGTCGACTAAGTGTCTCAAACAATAAGCATGATGGCTGCTAGGAAAAACAATAGGGATGGATTTAAGAAGCCCGCTGTGTCGGTCCGTATAAAACGTGAAGCTTCTAGAAACAGGCAAGCCGGAGGTAAGAAGAGTATTATTTAGCTTCAAGTAAAACCACTCCCAGTTTTCATCGGTCTAAGCATCAACGACATCAAATGCTAAAGTGAACAAATCATCATTCGCGTCCTTACTCACAGCACTAAGCAAAACGCCTTTAAATTTATTTTTTATGTGAGTGTCATCCAAAAATATCAACGGTCGACAACCGGTTAAAAAACCAACAAGACAAGCACGAAAGCAAATGAACAATCGACGGAACTTATTTTGGACATTGTCAAGCTCACAATCCGCAATGCTTCCCAGGTTTGTCTCACGCACCGCAGAACAATACCATCTCAATTTATCATAAGAGTCCTTGTCTGCTCCATGAATTTCTTGCATGACAATATCCTTCTCGGACCATGCCTTTTTGTAAGGCAACTCCAAGTCATAATCCCTATGAAGATCTTTCAATATCGTGCATGGCCTGTAGCTCGGTTCATCTCTCAATTTCTCCTTAATTGCATTTGAGACGCAATGAGCGTCTGCTTTCGGATGCCCCCTTGTCCGAAGATTGGACACTCCACAAGTATGGACTAAATTGCTCTTCCGGATGGCAAAGACATGATCACCTTTGAATTTTGAGGCATAGATTCTCTATTGACAATCCTCGTCAGTACAACAAACAATGATCTTCTGTTGATCATTTTTTCGGTACTTAAACGAATGCCTATTTGCAATGGCGTAGTTTTTAACAACCTTCCGAAATTCATCCGCGCCGCCACTGAATATCTGTCCCTCGCCTTTGATGGAAAATCTCCAAGAATCGATCGATCTATTTTGCACTACCAACGCTGATTCTCCTTTCGGTAAGATTTTCCTCCGTTCATTATAAAATAATACAAATTTTTATTAATAACGGAACTAGTTAAAAAATTAATGAATTAGGATATGATACAATAACACCATATATCAATAATAAATTCATTAATATTATGAAAGCAACATTACCCTCTCATGCTCATCGGCATGGGTTGAACTCCTTCATCCGCTCTTTAATTTCTTTCAATGCCCGAGCTTTCATTTCTTTCAATGACAACTATCTCTACAATATCTACTTTCCAACAACCATGTAACCGAATCATGTTTTTTACATCCTCATCATCAGACAAAATAATTCTCTTTTTTTCCTTTGGCACAATATAGTTTAACATGACGGTTTCCGAACTAACAATCGGTCACCTCTTACCAATGAGAGAGTACACTTCATCAAGAGTTGATTCAAGGTTCATAGAGAACACATACATTTCATCCTTGTATGTACAACTCCCTAATATATCACTTTGTGTCCCCTCCATGTATCTAACAATAATTGGATTAAAAAAAAAAAAACTTCACATTTCACAGCAAATATGGTACCAACAGTGAGCAAAGTGGTACAATATATCCAAGCAAAGGTACACACAATCATGAAGAGTGGTACTATCATTATTCTCCTCTTATTTTTTTGTTGTATGCTCAATAACACCTAACATAACCTAACAATAGCACAAATTTAGTATACATGAACAAAAAAAAAGGATTATGATCACTTTATTTATTTTAGGGTAAATATACAACAATATTCAACATTCAATTTTTCATAAATCAACCATAAATATATGAATTAAAGATGATTTTTAGACTCCAAACTTCTCATGTAATACATACAATACTTACTACTTCAATTTTTCGCCGAAAAAAGTCACAATCTTGCCGGAAAAATAAGAATTTTCGGACAGAGAATACAAATTTTTGGCCGGAGATACAGGGATTTTCGGCCGGAAAAAGCCCTAATGTCGCTGGATATGTTGCCTTCGGAAAAGGCTCCAGGGTTCAGTTTGTATTCGACGGCGAGATGAAGCTGCGAAAAAAAAATAAAAATCTCTCGCCGGCGCTGAAGAGAAAAAAGCGGGAAAGAAAGAATAAGTAAGGAGGAAGAAGAGTGAGGAAGAAGTAATTTAAGTAGCAAAAATAATTTAATAATGTAGATAGTGGGATGATGTCATATATAAATTTCTTTGTCATTTTTTTAATAGGAGGGATTTAAATAAAAGATGATTAGTGGAGTAGATAGTTAAAAAGAAAGAAAATATGAGGAGGGACTGACTTGGAACTTGGAAAATGAGTTAGGAATTTTTAAAGAAGACTACCAAAAATAATCCAGCAAAACAAAATTAAAAATATTCATATCCAATCATCCAAAGGATTTATTTCAACATTTAATATAATAGATTGCGGCATCACGGTCATCAACTTGTACAGAAAAGAATGGCAGAAAAAAAA